CTACCTGCCAGGCTACCTGAGTGCCGCAGTGTTCTGATGCAGCCGCCTCGTGGCTGGTTTCAGAGAGATTCAATTGATTGCCATTTTAATGGAATTTATTTCCCACTTGAAATTCTAGTCTCACTGTAATACTATGTCAAAATTAGAGACTTGTCAGTTCTCACAAGAAAAGATTTATCTTTTGTTTCTATTTTTAAAGAGCCCYGCCTTGCTAAAAGTGGGTCCTGAGCTGGTACCAGGTGGGTCTGCTCCCTTGTCTGGTGAATGCCCAGTTATGGGAATCCCATGAATTTTGGGCTGAAATCTGACCAGCCACTAACTCTGACATGTTGTCATTAAGAGAGCTGCTCATCCATTTTCAACAGGACAATTTAGAGTATCTCTCTGCTACGGTTGGGAACAYACCTAGTACAAACACACAGTACACACAGTCTCAGGTTACATCATACTTACAGAAGCATTTCACAGGTAAAATCTGTGTCAAGCTTTGTGCCAAATTGAATCAGTTTCTGACATTGGCTATAATACCTATAACTATCCCRGTTTTTTAATTAGTGGAGAGTCTTTTCTATGTAATTTTGTATACATTTGCTAAATTATAAGCCTTACTATATATATGTCTCACTCAAATGAAAGCCAATAGAAGGAGATATTAAAAATCACAGAACTATATGAAAGAATGACTCCCAAATAAGCAATATTCCCAAAAAGCATTACATTGTTTTCTGCAGGTGCCATTCAGCAGGTCTCATTTCTAACTTTTATTATACAGGATATCCTCTCAGCTCCTGCACTACTGAGAGGCTCCTGCACAGCCGAACGGGACATCTCCAGAAAGGCAGTTAATAGAGACCACGGTCAGAGCTCAGCCTATAGAGATCATAGACAGTGGTTACCTTTGTGTCCAATGCTGTCCTACTTCACAGGCGGGTTCCGTGCACCTCACAAGGCAACATGTGCATCCAGMGAAGCTTTCCCAGGTCCTGAAATAAAATAGTACCGTTCCTCGAGTGTCCCTTTCTTAATTTCCCACTTCAGCTGCCCCAGAGACATGGGGCTGAAGCTGATGGACAGACTGCAAACTGCAGGGTGTGCTAAATCTGTACATCTGGAAAGGTGTAAAATTATGGAGAGGTATTTATGAATAGAGCATAAAATTACTGAAAGGGGATCTTTATGAAAGTCTATCTGACACCCAGAATACCCCATTTTAGAGTTACATGGGGTTTGTAATCCCAAAAAAATAAAGCAGGCGGCACTGATATTACAGTACCAAACATACCTAGGATAAAACGTGCCTCCTTGGAGGGCAACGCACAAAAGGCACCCCGAAGAACCCAACAGCACCCAGCAGCTTTGCGAGCCGGTGGACAAAGGCCGAACTGGGTAGAAGCACCCTGAGATACCTGCTGACTACATAACCCCAGGATCAATGTTGCAGAGCGCTCGCGCACTACAGCATCCCACAGCGCCAGGCTGGGAGCAAAGGCCATCACCTCTGGAAACCTGAGGCACTCCTAGAGGCTCCCTGCTTTTGAGGAGAGTGCCTACAATCCAGCCAGCAGGAGCAGCAAGCCATGGCTACAGGAGAGGGTGTTTCCATACAAGACCAACTTGGGTTGGTCATAATTGCCTAGTTCGTCACCTTCTTGGTTCATCACCTGGCTGAAATGGGTGAGGAAAATGGAGGAGTGTCACCTCTGCACCGGGATGCAGGGGGAGAGACGASAGCAGGCAACAGCTGGAAGCAACAGCAGCATCAAGGTATGAGATGTCTCTGCAGCTGTGGGGGAACAAGATTGTGACAGATGAACTCAGATCTAGAGACGGAGAGCAACAACAGCCAGCTACAAAAGGGCTGGAAATGGCTACTCCAACGTTGCTACCCCAGGAGAGCCTCACCTCATGGGCAAGGGCAAGCAAAGTCACACGGAGAGCTGGCATAGCCAGCAGGAGCTCCTGCAGCTAGCAGGGAGTAGCAAACCGCCCTCCGGGTGGGATCTGTAGCAGCTTCTACCTTTTCCTGGTCCCTGCTGGCCCTGAGGGCGGCCCAGCAGGAGCGCAGTCGCCCTCCTGTTAGGCCAGGTCCYGCGGTCGTGCCTCCTCTCGCAGTGTCTGCAGCCTCAGCCGCACTGGTTAGACCCAAAACCAGGCTAGACCAGAAGGCAGTTGGCCAACAGCAGCCTCAGTTATATAGGAGCTTAAAAAAGAAAAAGAAGAAGAAAAAAGTAACTTGGAGAAGTAACTTGGAGGGGATCTGTTTCCATCAAACGGCAGAAGTAGGAGCCCTCGGGTGTTTGGAGGGCAGCAGGTGCCCCGTCGGCGGAGGCTGCCGAGGGTGGCGATGGGCGCGCGGTGCCGCTGCCCCCGAGCGGTGCCAGGGCCCCGCCGAG